TTAAAGACAGGCAGAATTGAACACTTTTCAGAATGTTGGAATATTAATTGAGATCAATACTATTTTGTAGAAATAAATTTTAAGAACTCCAAGTAAATGAAAAAATAAATGCTAGACCACAGTATATTTCAATAGGAATTTTGAAAATGCTTGTTTAATTACTATATGTTCAATAGCAGTTCATTTTTCATAATGCTCAGCTATCTGGGGTGTCTTGCTCCTTTACAACTACAAATCACTTTAACTGCAAATCTTGCTACTTAATAAATTGTTTTTAAATTCTGGTACATCTGCTAGCTTGGGAGCAGACTACTGAGACTAGTCTCTAGGCGACTTTAATTATGTTTTTCATTCACATGATGGAAATTCTCAGCCACCAGATGCCACCTGCTATCATTTTTATTTCCACTCTTGTGAACTCCTGCTCAGAGCAGCAAAGGCAACATTAGCTGTCATACTCGTAAGGTGCCTTGTCTTAAAGGCTCTGCTGTTGTGTTGCATTTGCAAAGCCAGAACCAAGTTCCCAAAGGATGGTCTTGATTGTTCTTTGGTGGTTTTTTTTTTTTTTTTTTTTTTTTTTTTTTTCTGGAGAACCAGCACAAATTTGACTTCAAAACATTGGAAAATATAATTTCAATTTTCAACACAATTCTCTTGGATTCTTTAAGTTTCTCTTCATTTTTCAGCCTTCATTTCTTTTTCTTCTCCTAATTTTAATCACAAATAATATTTAATATCTAAGTCAAAATAAATGGTAAGAGCCAAGCAATGATGCAAGATTTGTGTAAGTCTTATTAGAAACATAATTGAGTCAGCTGGTAGATCTATGGTCATGTTGCATGAGGCATCCTCATCACACAACATATTTTCTGTGGGTCTATGTAGAACATTAGCCAATCAGTGGGGTTTGATTAGGTCCATTCTAGTATGTTATCATCAGCTAAAAAATAGAAAAGGTAGATGGTCAGTGCTAGTTGAGGTTTGGGGTAAGAATTCCTCTTTTAATAACTGCTTAACATTTTAAAATTCTCTTTAGTTTTGATTCAGTGAATTATGTCTTTTGGAGGCATCTAGCAATTTCTCAGGATATTGGTGCTTAATCCAGGTCAGCCAGTACAGGGGAATCCTTGCATCCTTAGCATCCTTAACCTTAGCTATTCGGTTACACAGTGTTTGATTAGGATATTAGCTACTGTTCAGTTCAGACACTGTGTTTGCTGATGCTGAAATTAGTTTGTTTGTAAATTTGACAGTACCATCATGTTCTTTGGTAATCTTCCAAAAAGAAAGGTTGTTTTAGATACAACATATAAAATAATGCTGCCAGTAGTAAAAGTGGTTTAAGACAGTGATTTTAAACAGTGCATCATTAGCAAAGCTATCAATATACTGTCTCTGAAATACTCATTCATCTGAATAATACTTTTAGTTTAAGATTTTTTTATACACTTATATATATATATTTGAGTGAGAGATTTCTAGGAAGAGAAGCCTTTCCAGAGAGTGGAATTTGAGATTCATTTATTTCCCTGAACTTCTTTTTATCTATAAAAATTATAGTTTGTATGGAGCTGCTGAAGATCATCTGTTCTCAAATACACACTGTATTATAAATCCATTGCTAAAAAAAGGTGTAAAAGTTTTGTGAACCCCAGATCTAGAATTTGATGCAGAGCAATGTTTGAAATATTCCATTTTGGAAGTTTGTTTAAACTCAGCCACATTCTGTACTAGAACACTGGGGCATCCTTGTCTAATGGCTTATTACCAACCTCCTAGGGACTCACTGGCATGAAAGGCACTATATAAGCTTAAAGGGATTTTTTTTTTTCTTGCCCCATGTGTAGTTTATATGTCACTTGCAGTTACTGTGTACTGCTAGTTTACTTCAAAAGAATGCTGATCGAGGCCTGAGGAAAAGATTGAGCTATGTGCTAAAAAGAGGCAAAAGAATAAAGTATTTGCTTTGCTGTTCTACTGAGATACATCTGTGCGAGCAGCCAAATGCTCATTCCTAGTTTGAATTCAAAATTTATCCTTTTAGCCTGTACAGATAAGAAGTCAGATCATGTTTGTTTACATATTTGGTGGGTTTTAATAAAATAATTAAAAAATGCTTTACTGTACTTTAATCTTTTTCAAGAGTCAGTAAAAGGAAAACCTGTTCATTCACCTGGGAAGAGGGGAGCTTGTACAACCATGTTTGCTTTTTGAGAATACAGACTAGAATGCAACTGTCTTCAAATATCTCCTGAGAATATCTGTAAAAAGGAAAGGGTGCTTCACAGTTCTCCACAGCTGTCAAATTATTTTGTTAGCTCTGGTGCATAGCCTTTTAAAGCCTGTTGCAGGTGCTTTCATAAAAGCCCATGGCTAGGGTTGTCAGCAGTATCCCAAAACTTTGGATTGCTCAGTATTTGGGTGTTTTACATAAGACCTTTAAGAACTGAATAGCAAAACTATCCTTAACAACTTCCAAATAATTGACTGCTTCAGATTGGGCAGCAAATTACCAAAAGCATCAGATTTTGAAGTCTTATCTCCTATAGTAATTCTACCAAATGGTTGATTTTTTAATTGCTTTACAGTCTTGTAGAAATGGAGCTTTTCTTGAGAAAAAAAAAATGCATTACTTGTTGTTGGATATCAAATAGTCCTGTCACCAATACCAAGGACAGTCACAGTGCTTTTGACCATACTACAGGTCAAGGTTGCTAGAGCACCCAGACTGATGTTCATGTGTTATATGGGTCCTAATGAAGTTACATGGCTTCCGAGAAATGTCAGCATCATTCTCGTGTCATACACTTACCTTTCCTGCTGCCAGACTTCAGATATAAAGTTTTAAAGAGAAAATAACCTAAAGCTCCAGGGATTATACTTCCTAGGCTTATTGGCAAAGATGTGTTTAAGATAATGTTCATAGGTTGTCTAACACTGGTGTTTGAAAAAATGTTAATTTCTTCTGGAAATTCCTCTTCTTAACTAACCCCCAAAAACCAGACCCACTAAGAGGCCAGAGATCTTGTTGTTGTTGTTGTTGTTGTTTTTAAGAAGAAGACAAGGACTATAAAAACCTGAGGTAATATAAGCTGTGTTCCCCAACCACAGTCCCATAATTTAAAAGTTAAAACCTAGACTGGTGCAAAACAAAAACGAATGAAGTAAATGCTCCTTGACTTAAATTACACTAATATAACTCATTGTTCGATTCATTTTTTGTATTATTTTCATTAGAGTTGTTTAGTTACATACTATTTGTGCCTTATAGCAGGTAACTACATTTAGGGACTTGAGAAGTTCTGATCAGTTTTCCCTTCTGTGATACCTACCAATTGTTCAGTTCTTTGCAATTAGGTCATTTATTTTAGTCAAGTGTGAGGTGACTAGGTGTAAATGCTATATACATTCACAGGAACCTCCATGGTTCAAGGTCCTACAAAAACTCCTCTGGACAATTTTCTGTAAATCATTCCAGCCTAGCTGCATAAGTATGGCTTTAGAAATCAAACTTTAGGCACCATGGCTTGAAAAGAATAACCTAAGAGTAAAAATATCTAAATTTTCATATCAATATATGCTATTGGAATCAGCTCCTGGTAATTTTTCTAATCTTAAAGGACAAAACACAACACCAAAAATACACCAACCCCCCCTAAATTATAAGATTTTCTTACTGGAAATTTTTTCCAGATATTTATTGAGAATTTACTATATGTTATGTGTTTCAGATGATGGAAAAACACATTCATTCTTTCAATATAAATTATGGCTCTAAAAAAATATATATATATAGAAGTATGTTGCCCTAATAAATGATCTTATATGAAAAAAAAAAAAAAAAAAAAA